ACACAGACAGCATCATTGCTGAAAACTGAAGCGTCGCCCATCCGAACAAAAGTGAAGCATCCCATCCCCCAACCGCACACGCGCGTGGCGCGCGCGCAGCCATGCGCCATCCTGTGTCCGCCGTGTTTTTGCGTTGTTTTTTTTTTGGCGATGCTCAGAACTTGAGAAGCACACCTCGGCAAAAAATATTGAAAGTGATGGGTCTGTTTTTCAGGCAAGGCTTGAAAGTTGGAATGAAGGTCATCCAACACTCTGGGATAGAACAAAAGAATACCCCAAGATACTGCAAGGGTACTTTTGGGAGTGTATGTCACATCTGTGCAGCTTCGTCTTCCTTCAGTATCACCCTGCTGCATTTGCCCTGCATCTTGTGAGTCTGTTGATACTGAGGGTCCAGCAACCACAGCTAAGCACCACATAGAGCAATAAGCACTGCAGGGCTGGGCGGATATCAATACCTCTGTGTTTCGCGCATGAAAATCAAGCTTCACTTCGGATATCATCTTGGCATGCTGTCACGAAACAAGCACAGCTAAGCATCCAATGTCCACAGCTCTCACTCCTCGATGTTCGCTCCTTACAGCACCTCTCCTTACCTTCGGAGGACTTCACGGACGGTGAAGACTAAGGATCGGCCGTCCAGCCGCCATCATATCCCCCTTGCCATACATACCGGTCCCCCTACTGTAGGGGGACCCCTGTCAGTAGTTGTAGGGGGGACCCTGCGCTCCATTCCAGACCCTCAGACCCTGCAAGACTAACATGGACCAAAAAAACCACTGATTGGTAGAGGAAAACCATCTTCCAGAGGGCCGTTGTCAGGGTGTATCCCTTGCCAACAGGACTCACCCGAGCCACAGGATGTGCCCACGAGGAGAGGTCTTCATCGACCGGGACGGCCTCTTTAAGTCAGACAAGACCAGAACAACAGTTGCTAGTGTCCCATATAGCACACCTCGCCTGCAATATCCTGCAATCATTGAATCATCTAACCTAATAAATGAACATAAATGAACCATCCCAAAGACCTCCTCCGTCGCATCCCTGTCCGAACTCCTGACCCTTCGGGATTCATCCCGTCCAAGTAGTCCAAGTAGTCCAGAAACGTCCACCCAGGCGCGACGAGCTTGGAGCACCCCCTGGCGCTTCACCTGAAGGTAGCGTTGCCATCCCACCTGGAGAAACAGGGACCCCCGGGAGCTTGCCGGACCCAGGGAACTCCCGCTTCGCGGCGGCCGGGAAGGCAGAGGCGTGAAGGGAAGCCCGCGTGTGGGGTGAAGGGAAGAAGGATGACAAGAAGGGAACTAGACCAAAACATAGCAAGAACATACCCTTTCATCTCCCTATGAAGTTCACCCATTGTGGTTTTCGTCTAAACCAGCTTTCTTCATCTTTCTCCCAAATTCTGGTGTTCTATTGTCCTTCTGGTTCTCCCCGCGAGCTCCGGCCCTTTTTCACCGGAAAAAAGAAAAGAAAGCTACGACACGGTGGACGGAGGTCCGCCACGCCGAGGAGCCAGCAAGGCCACCACGGCGGCCAAGACCAGCGCGACGCTCATGATCGCCGACGCTGAGACTTTCAGCCGCCTCAACCGGCGGCGGTGTGGCGGGTTCGGTGAACACGGGTCCGGTTGGTTCCTTTTTTGGACACAGCGTGACACAGCGCCCTGCGCCGGCTCCAAAAATGGCTCGTTGAAAGGAGCCGGTGTGGCTCTGTCAAAGCATTCAGTCAATGAAGTAAGGGATAGGAAGGGAAGATTCGTTTGCAAAGGAGAGCTGTCAGGGCCACATACGTTCATTGCCTCCCAAGGCCCAAGGATCTGAGAACCTGCGGCCCAGATGCTTATCCAGCGCGATGGGCAAGAAGCCAAAGCAAAACCTCAGATTGGCTGAAAAGAAACACATCACTTGTATTATATATAGTATAATTGTCCTGGCTCAACAAAACTCGTCCTGGTCTATAATGTTCATGACTTGAAAACTGACCAGAGTTCTACCCCGAGCGGATGTGCGGTCACAATGTCCAAAAGGAAACCAAACATGTCACTGGCTTCACTTCCAAATGATTTTACAGCAGTGCAATGCAGTACATGATAGTACATGCAGTTACTTTCAAATCCAAAAAACTCAAAAAAAAATATACCACTTCCTACTGAAAGATGTTTAAAGGCTCCGGTCACCCACTCCAAACGAAAAGGCCTCCAGCAGATCTGAATATTCCCAGCAACAGCATCTTGGACGTGGCGAAGCTCGTTCGCGTCCTGACGAGCCGAGCGATTACGAGGCTGCTCGGTGACCGAACGAACGAGGCTGCACGCACAACACCGGGTGCATGCACAACACCGGGCCCGTTCGTTTTACAAGGGGTGCCTATAGGTGTTTTGGCCCGTTTGGGATGGTTCAGGTGGGTGAGTAGGAGGCGTCCTTGAACCACTGACAAAAGGATGTGAAATCGACCCGAAAATGCACCCTGAACGAAACCTGGAAGCCATGTCCTTTGCAACACATTGAACTACACCCCGAGAGCTGACCTTGAAGTTCCTCGCCTGAATTCAGTCTCCACAAAAAGGTTTCACCCGTACATGAGACAGAGTCTATGTGAGGGTCTCGTTATCATTCCGAGACATTGACACATTCTCAGAATCAATCTGTGTCCTCACTTCCCCAAAGTCCTCACCAAATCTAAGCACATTACATCACATTATATCACATTACCGAGTGTTCAATCTGGACTCCTCACGCTACAACCAACAACTCCGGAATCTGAACCAAAACCCACGCCAAGGGAAAAAAAAACACGGACTGCGGACCGCGGACCTTTTGCACTCACAGTGACACTTCCCCGCATCTCCCATCTCCCCCCGTGCCGAACAAAAACCGCCGGTCCAAGCCATCAGAGCTCGCTCGTGCGCCAGCTCCGTCGACAACACTGTACTGGCAGGCACGTCGAGGGCCGCTGGGCGCAGAGGCGCGGCGTCCGCCGGGCGTAGCTCGGTCTGACGAGTGAACGGAGCGAGGACGGCTGGGTGTCTTTCCAAGCGCTGGCGAGGTGACCCAGTCGTCCAGTCCGACGATTCTGGGGCACCAGTAAAGGAAATGCCTTTTCAGATCAGCGAAAAACAACCTTTTGTACAGTAAATGCTCTTGGACTCTCAGGGTGATGCAGCAAAAAACAGGAGTCGGAGTGACTCTGATGGTGGTTTCGACGTGACTCTTGGCTTTGGAATGTGGGGTTTTGGGGTGCCTCTGTATGCATGTCGCCATTGAGAGGATGCTTCATTTCGACTCTGCGTCCATGAAACTGTCCCAACCCCCGCCGGCCTCCGCCTGCGACGGAGGGACAAGTCTTAGCAAGGCGGCGGTGGGCACTTGCAGCTCGAGCTCCCCTGGCGGAGCGAAGCTGCAATCGACGAGACTCGACACACACAGCTTCGCCACAACCCCATGGGGCGACCCGGGATTCCGGCTCGAAGGATGGTTTCTGGTTTTGTGGGGTGCTTCATGGTGCCTCTGTTCCTGGATGGTCTTGGGGGGTTCGCGTCTGGCGATGTTTCTGGTTCCCGCCTGGTCGCCTAGACTCTCTAGTACTTCCAAGGCGGAGAAACATAGATATGCTATGATATGCTGTGCTAGACATCCCTAACCTTCTCAGACTCCTTTGTGGATCTCTAGTAGAAGTCAGACCGCCGAACCGCTGCCGCGCCACCCGGTGGTGAAGCGCCTTGCTGCGAGAGGTCCTGCGGTCGACCGCCCGAGGCGGCGGCGAAGGAAAGGACGGGGGGCGGAGAGCCAACAGAGGTTAAACCCTATAGGCGATGGGTCCCCCTGTAGGGTCCTATGTCACTTGACCTCTCTTGGAGGGTGGGATAGAAGAGATGGGGTGATCATGCAAAGATCGGCTCACGACAGGTATATCATTTTGAAGTGGAGGTCCCGAATCCACGAAGGTTTGGTCTATTCTCCTTCTGCCAAAGGATCTTTGGAAACTCTCCCAATATAGATCAACACAAATTGTCCAAACGAGGCAGAACTGTAACGCCCTTGAGATGGATCCCTAAACGACCTCATTTCGCAGTGACATACAGTGACCAAATCGCTCCTCAGGAAGTTCCAGAGGAAACTGCGGTGGCAAACCCAGCCTGGCTGTGCATCTTGCGAGTCTGACAAACCTCACCCTGGTCGTCTACTCTACCGGATAATTCCCCTGCCAGCACATGAGCATTGGCTTGGTGAAAGGAATGCCTTAGCTAAGGGGACCTCGAGAAAATCTCCCGGTCCCATGCTTCATCATGTTCTCCATCTTCGTCTTCCTGCAGGCAGTTGCCAGTTTGGCCCATCGTTTCCTCACCTGTCTCGCAAGCAGCACGTGATGTCATCCACCGCTGCTCCCACAGGCAGCAGAAGTTGGAAGCATCTGCTCTCTGCCGAAGTTGTAAAGCACCGAACACACAGTTGGCGCTCGACATGCACCCCAGTGTGCGACATGCACTCTGGCAAGCGAAGGTGATCTAAGTTGTTGTCAAGAATGGGATGGGGCTTGGCCCCCATGAATTAGATGGTTTAGGTCATCGCGAGTTCTAACCTCTTTCGAGCCAGCCCTACGTCTGCTGGGGTTGCTGATTCATTCAGTCCAATAGCCCAAGTCTATCCAAGTCTTTTTGTCCCTCTCGCTTCCGCTTTCTCTACATAAATCCGTGTATATACTAACTATTTGCAACATGTTGCAACTGTTTTTAACTGTGTTCACTTCATGTGGAACGGATTGATTCACCTGCCGGACACCCCAAATGCAGCTGATTCGACAATGTCTGGGGATTGACTGCCCTTCTCCTTCCGGTCTCATGCTGTTCCTTCCTTGTTACTGATGAGCTGCAGCAAATGTCGCGAATCCTTCCACACCATGCCATGCAATCACCCAGACTCCAGACGGCTCCGGACCCTAGGATGGGAAGCCATGAGGTTGCACCTCTGCATCCAGTCAGCTCCTGCTGAGGCCGTGGCTCTGCACTTGAAATTGATCCCCCGCCACGGTGCGTAAGCTTCCGATGGCCTCTGCGTTCCGGCCCCTCGCGCGCGCGTTCCGCGTCCGCATGAGTCCGCGCCGGAAGACGTGCTGCACGCCCCTCCGCACGCGACCCGTAACGCAAGAACGAACACCACAAGCGATGTTCAGACGTACCATCAGTCGCTTTGAACCAGTGAGGGAGGCCCCGACCTCCCACTTCCCACCAACAAATGTTTGGGCTTTTGCTTTTCCCTGTTCCTAACTCCTCCCACTGTCCTCGCCTCCGCCACAGCCTCCGGCCGCGGAGGACAGATCCGTCGGTCGCGTCGAACCTGGCCTGGCCAAGCCACTTGGGGAGGCCCTGACTGGCGCGGCGCAAAGCCTTCATCTCCTTGGGATCATCCTGCACGGCCAAACGAGAAGAACGACGGGTGAGATCCCAGTTCTGTGTAGCTCAACCCTTTTTTATCCGTAGCAAGGTCTAGTTGCTGGACTGAAAAGATATGATGCCATCTGTTGAAAGCCTGCGAGAGAACCGGACTGAAGAGGGCACTCCCTATGTGGTGGGGTTGGGGGCAGGAGAGAGAAGCGATTGCAGCGGGCAAGCGTTGGAGACAGAAGGTTCTGAATAGCTGAGGGGTGCCCTTTTTAATCCGTAGCAAGGTCTAGTTGCTGGACTGAAAAGGGCACCCCACATGGGGTGCATGATGCCATCTGCTCAGGGACTGCGAGCGAACTGAAGAGGACACTCCCTATGTGGTGGGAGTTCACGTGGATTTAGGGGTTAGGGCAGGAGAAGGTCTGACCAAACCAAACGTCGACCACCAAGGGAAAAATGTTCCTCATACAAGCCCAACATGGCCCTCCTGGAGCACTGGGATGTCTGGCACTTCATGTATGCTGAATCACTTCATGGGCTACAGCACTAAGACTGGATCCCCCAACTGGAAGGGTCTGGACCCTTTTCCCCCCACCAACGGAGCACTGGGACCGCACATGTGGCCGGATCTAGAATCTGGTATCCAACCTATGGTCTCTCTTTGCATTTCTTTGAGCTCTTTCCACTCGCCACTCTCTGATTTAAAGGCTTACGCCTGACAGCCGGGCGCTGGCCGGGGCAGAGCGGAGAGAGAGGGAAGGGAGAGGGAGGAAACGCGTGAAGGAAGAGGCGGACTGTCCTGTAGAGATTGACTCACCGACATGTCCAGCCCAGACGCTCCTCTCCGCAGCCCCGAAAACACCATAAAACATATGGCTTTTGCACACGTTCAATCCAGACGCGTCTCTTCGCAACCCCGCAGACACTGTCAGTCCAGACGCTTCTCACACTCACACTCACTCTCACTCTCACTCTCAGAGTGAGAGAGCGACAGAGAGAGTGAGAGTGAGAGTGAGAGTGAGAGTGACAGTGACAGTGACAGTGACAGTGAGTGAATGAGAGTGAGTGTGAGTGAGTGTGAGTGAGAGCGAAGGTGGGCGCGAGTGAGTCTGGGTGAGTGAGTGGGTGAGTGAGTGAGTGAGAGAGAGAGAGAGAGAGAGTGAGAGTGAGAGTGAGAGTGAGTGAGCGCGAGTGCGAGTGAGTGTGGGAGAGTGAGTGAGAGTGGACTCGCGGCGCACGTGCCCTGAAAAGTCTGTAGACACTTCTATCCAGTCCGTGCTCTTTCTCCTCCGGTAGAAAAAAAAGAGCCAGAGAGCAACCAAAAAAACAAAATGCACAAGTTGCTAATAATGCAAGGCCACTCAGGCAGCATATCTCGCACCACGGGCCTTCGAAAACGACCTCACATCCATCACCATATCCATGTTGCCACATGTTGGCTCATGTTGCTAGGGTGACTGGGGGGAGGTCGACCGGAATCGGTCGGCGGCGTAGCCCCTGTAACCTTCGGTTACCAGCCGAAGGCCTCCGGCTAGGACACGGGCGCAGCAGGCCGGCGCCCTGTAATTTTCGTCCCCGTACTACCACCAAAAGGCTTCACGGAGCCCACCCCAGCCGCCCAGCCACCCCGCGCGGCTCCTTCACCCGCTTCCAGGCACTCTGCCTGCAACGGACATCCGGAACGCCAAGTTCGACACTGCTTCGACACCCTTTGACCCCCCTCTTCCTCCAACGCCGCGTTCGGACGAAGGTCTGCCTTTCGGGCTTCGTGCGAGCGAGCGAGCGCTCCTCACCTCACGGTCCCTCGCGCATCGGATTCGGAGGAGACCGTCCCTCCTTGCGGCCAAGACACTTTAAGGGATTCACCACCAGCACCAGCTCATCCTCCGCCGTCGCCGCGAAGCCTCGCTCCGGCTCGGTCTGGCTCGGTTCCCCCTCATCCCTCTCAGAGTCGGTAGCGACCAGGAGTGGACGCCCATATGGGGGTCCACACCGTGGGCGCTCTCAAAGAGCAAGGGCGGATATCGATTCACACCTGGGCCCGTGGAGCGAGGCCGACCGGCGACACATCCAACCTCGTCACGTACGTCGTCGTGCGACCGACCGTGGGGACGGGAAGAAAAACGATCGGTGAAAGCAATGCAAGGAAGATAGAAACCTGATTGCTAAGCCATGACGTTGAGCAACATGTTTCTGCACCGTTTTTTGCTGCTGGACACGAAGCTGCCACTTCGTTAACCTGCAACAGTGACCTCAATCATCAATCAAATGTATTTCCCCCTGGAGCAGAGGCTGCACAGGCTTCCTCCTCCAGATATTTGCCAATGAGGCACTGTTAATGAGGTTCAAGGCGATGAGGAGCCGCTCCTAGCACTGGAGCCCACAGAGAAAGGGAAGCGCGCGCGCTCTCTCTCTCTCTCTGAAAAATTGCAAAAGAAGTGTCCACCAGCTGCTTCCAAAGCCGTCACCCAAGGACAACCTTTCACTTATATAATTATATATATATATATCTCCAGAGTGGATATAGATTGCACGCTGAAAAACAGGCGCGCCGCTGACGACATGCCGCTGCCAGCTTCCCCTGTCGTTCAACCAACTCCCTTCGCTCCTCAATGAAGAGGCTCGTGCCTCAGGCTAGGGCACACCGTCCGACCCACATGGGGAGTTGATTCCAGTGGCTGGCTTGGACAAACACTTCTGATTCTCTAACAGACTCTAACATATACTCGCCAGGAATTGCAGCCTGGATTCCATCTCCTGGGTCTCTCTCCAACCCTCCAGAGACTCCGCACCACACCAATTCTCCGTCATCCCCAAATCCCGCCCATCCACTCGGTTCGCCCGCCTCGCACGCGCTGCGCGGCGCGCTTGGCTCCCTGAAGCAGCTCCAAACGTCGCTTCAGCAAGCTCCAGCGCCAGCAGCGTTGGATGCACAGCCTCTGTTCGCCCCGTGCGCTGTCCCGCTGCCGTTCGCGCGCGCGTGCCGTTGAAGGCGCCCGGAGGTGCATCGGCAGTGCCCGAGCTACTCGAGTGACCAAGGCGGAGTCTGCCGAACACCGGTCGGAGCGACATGTCGAGCTCTGGGCTGTCGGTCGGGGGACATGCATGTTTGGACCAAAACCATTGGCCACATAGTTGAGCCATTTTTTCATTCAAGTTCATTCAAGTTCCAACATGTTCTAACTTGCCAGCGAACTTGGCAATACCGTTTTCTTGAAACCATCCTCCATGTGTTAAGCCTAATTATTGGAACCAGGACCGGTGGTGAATGGACACCCCTTAACCTCTGTCTAAGGGGCTGGTGTTTGTCCGTCTTGCGAAATACGGGACATGCAACCTAACCTAAGTGCCTTAAGTGTTGCCTGAGCTTCAAACGCACAACGTCTGATCGTCGCCGCGGTCTTCAAGTTGCAGCTCAAGGAACAACGCTCACCTTGGCCATCATATTGTTGGTTTGTTGGTTCAACTCTCATACATGATACTCATGATACACTTATCAAGTCATCAGTCACTCCAAAAAGCTGCCTCGCTTCGATCGCGCGTTCCTTGCGCTTCCTGCGCAATCCTTTTCCCAGACATTCCGTGGGACTGGAATACATACGTGTACCCCATGATTTCATGACCCATGTACTGTAACTATTCCACTTAGATCCACTTAGTCACTTCGTCTGCAGGGTCATTGCTCGATGGAGTTAACGATGACTTCTCCTCACCCCATTCGTTCTCTTTCTGAGTCCAAGGACGATGTGCCCGCCACGCAGCCTGACAAGTCCACCGCCCCCCACGAGCGACACGTCTCGCTGCACCGGAACCGCACGCTTCGAAGCAGCGCGTCCGTCCGTCCGGGCCGTTTGGACGGTGTTGGACAGTCCGGTGGACGCGCCTGCAAGCAAAGCACGGCCGAAGCCTCACGAGGAGGTCAGGTCAGCACTGTGAATCCGTTCTGGTGAGAAAGGTCGATCCAGGAAGGGGTGAGAACATGCTTTAACCAACACACACAAAAAGGCCCGAGTCACGCGGGTGAAACGACCCCCCGTGTTCGCTTCATCAAACCGCAGCCATGCTCCGCTCCTCACAGATCCTGGGGCCCCTCCACGAGGAGTCCATTGTTTCAGCAACACGGTCATCCAAAAACACCCGTCCACAAGAAGCTATACTAGTATAGGTCTTTGAAGCTACTAGTATAACATATAGTATAAGAAGAAGCTTCCTTGGGCATCTTTTTACTGGGCCATCGTTTCACGTCACTTACTGGGGGCGATGTCTGTAACATCAGCAGCCGTACGCCGTCAGTACAGGCCGCATCACCACGATGGTGCCTGCTTCACGAAGCGCTCCGGCAAGAAGGGCACCGGGCGTACCAGCGGGGCATCGCCGCCTACGAGCGGTCGCGGGTTTTCCCACACTACACGTCGAGGAACTCGCGGCGAGCAAGCAGACACAGTGAAAAGACATGAAAAGAAGATCTACAGCATAAGAAGCATCTCTGTTGGAGGCAACGTACTACATGCTCTGTTAGAAGCGTATCACACTGCCTGTGCCGGCAAAATGCAGCATGTAGAGGATGAAGCGTTCAGCCAATCGAGGGGTCCTGAAAGAAAAGTAACGAACATGCTCCGCATGGCAGCGGAGCCGGCTGTGACGTTCCTGTCGACTTTTGCACATAGAAATACAACTAATGTCAACATCACTGAGCATCGGCACTCGCAAAGGCAACTCACCAGCGGTTGGCACAGCCAGGTGGCCTCAGACGCTTGGGAGAAGCGTTGGGTCCAGGTACTTCTGCAGGTGATTCCAGGGCTTCCAGAAGCTATCCTTGCACCACTGAGGGCTGGACGTCACGGTAGATCTTCTTGCCAGTCGCTGGGTCATGCTGGCAGCATGGGCCAGTTCGGAATGTAATATCAAACAAGAATCGTCTACTGTATCATACTGTATCGTACTGTATTCAAGTCATTCTCCTACATCATCCTAATCTGCAAATCATTCTGAAACATCCCCTTCAAGGCATCTGGCTCATGAACGCTTGCCGGTCTCATCTCCAGATCTTCGATTTCGGGTGTTTCTGCCTGCTGGATCACCTGCTTCTCCTGGCAACTCCGGCCCAGGCAACCTCCGCCCACCCGTCTTCCATGTCTTCCATCCGTCGCTCTCTGAACGGACCCCTCTGGGCATCAGTCGAGGGTGACCCGATGCCCAGTCCCAGTCCGACGGGACTGCACTGACAGTCGACCAGGGTCGAATGAGGGAGGTTCACATCCCCAGCACGCCAGGTCAATGTATGGAATATGGACCTATAGCCATCTATAGCCTATGTTATATAAGGTGAATACAGAGGTCAAGGAGTGTCTGGGATATGAGACTGGAGCCGTTGACTGCCCACAGCTCTTCAGCCCCGCTCCTCCACCTTTGGTCTGCTGCCCAAGCGCCAAGCCTCTGTGGCGCTTGGCGGGGTGGATTGCTAAGGGACGAAGCTACACGGCGTGACTCGGATGCGGCATGGACTGCATTCCCAAGAATTGCATGATTCGGCAGCGCCTGGCAGCGCTTTTACATCTCTTTTCCATTAATTGTATCATTCTTCTCAGCACATGGCAGCATGCCAAAAACCATCACCATGGACTTGCCGCAGTCAGGGCATCACGTCCGCATCATTCGGGAAGGAGCACCCCGTGCACCCCCAGCACACCCCGCCTCGTGCAGGAAGCGCAGCAAGGTGGGATCTTTCTGGGCCGCTCGCGTGGCCAGCTGTGCTTCCTTGAAGGAGGGACCTGGAAGACCCGTGGCTCGGCACCGCCGACGGCGCGGTGTCGAAGGATCGGCGGAGACAGCGCATCGGACGATGGCGAATCGATGTGTTGGTGAGGTGTTTTGATTTCAAAGGGCTCGTTCAAGCACTCCAAAAGCGCATGGAGCCCTCTCACAGATCCTATTTTAACGGTTCGCCACAGTTCTCGCAAATGCGAGAATTTGCGCAAATGTTGTCCGCCTTCAGCCCAAGAAAACAGCAGTCTTCATCTCTTAAAAAACCCGCTCAAACCTTCAAAAGACTGGATGTGCATTTCTTCAAGAACACTACCTACGGGATTAACATGTTTTCTTATAGGATCTTATAGGATAATATAGGAGGAGCATCAAGTTCAGGCGAATTTCTTACAGATCTTGACCTTCCCCCTGTGACCAACAAGTTTGACAAATGCAAGAGGAAGCTCAATGGATCCCTAAAAACCTTATACACCTTAATAGTTCGACTTCAACCACCCTTCTCCTTGGGCGCTGGCGCGCCGTCGCACTCCCCGCATTTGAGCGTCCGACTCACGTCTCCCTCCAGTGCCAAAGGTGGATGCGAGACTCGGCAATCCGCCCTGGCCAGCGGAAACGTCCCAAGGGGCCCATGACAGACCGCGAAGCCGATGCGACTTCGTGTCATGTCCCCAAGACCCAGACCGGGCTTTAAACAAAAAGGTACCCCATTCAAAATTAATCATGCCAAAAGCCTCAAACATCTTAAACCGTCTCAGCTATCAATTTTTCCTGCTGATCTTCGAACTCTTAGCCACCTACGTCGACCTTCCCGGACCTCTGCCACGCAATTCGAGAGTCACCAGAGTTAGAATTGCAAACCAAGTTCAACCACAGCCACTTGAACTTTGAACCCATTTTGAACCCAAGCTTTCAAAAAGGATTCCCATCGCAATGCCATGTCATCTACTTCACCATTGTGTTTTTGCTTCATCCCAGCTCCGGAACGATCCCAGGAAAGCTTTTCGGTGAAAACAAGACCAAAGCCGACCGGAAAAAAAAGAAAAGCTCCGAGTGGGCACGAACCCCAAGACGTTTGTGTGCCCAAACGAAGACCACCGCGCAACGTCGACCCGTACCCGTCCGCCGGACGCGGGTCCCGTCCCGTCGGTTCGGAAGCGTCGTTTTCACGTCTGGGTGCGAGCGCGCAAGGGGAATCAGGGAAGGCTTCCGCTCCCAATAGAGCATTCGATTGGATCCATTCAGGTCAGCTCGGACCACTCAGGTCAGCTCTTATTACCTGGTGGATCCATTCCATTCCACCCTCAGCCACCTTCCCCGCGAGAGAGACGCGTCGCACCAATTCAGAACCGACGTGAGAACTCCATTCGTCGGATCTGAGAGTCGGACCCTTCCACCAGTTCTTGCATCATGGCGGCCACCACCGAGTCCTCTTCAGAACCGTGAAGAGTTGACGGAGACCGGAGACCGGAGGGGAGCGTGCGTGCGGTAGTCAGACCGGGTACGGCCACGGTGGTGCGGTCTGACCGGGTGACGCAGCGACAGACCAAGCTGCAGGTCTAGAAATATGAAGAAATATGAGATTTTGCCTGAGAAAGAGGATGATTTGATTTGATTTGTTTTGATTTGCTTTGCTTTGCTTTGCTTTGATTTGATTTAAATTGATTTGAATTGATTTGATGTGCTTTGATTTGATGATATATTCGATGTGTGATACATGAAATATATCAGCATGTATCATCTTATCATCTATCGATCAAGCAAATCTGATATCTGTATATCTATATATATATATACACATAATTCTCTAATATTCTGTACATTATATAGAGATGGACACTACATTCTCCATCATATCGCCATCCTTCATCATCCTTCGATGATTTCAGGCTCCTCCCATGACATCCCCCGCCCTCCGCCGTCGGGAGTCCTCCGCCTCGTCGTGGGGCCGGCCACGCTGGAGACTCACTCCAAAGACCTCCAGCCCGTCCGTCCCATGTCGATGTTCTGCTGAATGGAAAGTGGTTGGGAAGAGCTCCAAAACTCATGCAGATGTCCTCATGTTTGTTGGGCGCGGCACTTCAGCTTCCATCTCCATGCCAGGCATCATCAAGCAGCACCTGGACCAAGAACGCCACACTGCCACACTGGAAAAGGAGAATAAGCCACACTTGAACAGGAGAGTCATGAGGGCCACCCTTATAACGGAGATTGTGCCACGCTCTGCGGGATGCTTGTTTAAAGCGAAACATACACAACACACGTGCCGGTTCTTCAACATGTGCTGCGTTTCGGTACAGCTGGTAGACCCTGATCTGAACCCCGCAAGGTGTTTCTTTTTGTGGTGATCAACGTTAGGAGTTTAGATGACATTGACACTCTCATGTCCATGTGAAAAACCGTGCATGGCAATCAAGTTCATGAGTTCCTAAGGCTGCTCGCTTGAACTGCGACCGAAGCACAGAATGGCCACATCAGGTTCACCCAGCTGCACGTCCACCATCTGCGCAGGTTTGGAGGTGGGACCAAGGAGGCCAGTGCGAACTGGATCTAGTTCGATCATTGTTGGATCCAGTTCAAAACCTTCTCCCAACTGCGGTCAGGGAAAATGCCCAAAGCCACGAACCCTCCTTCTTCACGTCCTCCACACGAGGACGCGCGGACCGGGAAGACTTGGAGACGTGGCCGCCCCCGCGACGTGGCGTCTCAAACCCATATCGATCCCAGACCAGAAGAGTTGGATGGATGGATGGGTGGATGGGTGGATGGGTGGATATTCCAGTCTGGGTCCCATGTTCAAGTAATATGGGAAAACCTTCTTGAGTTTAGCATCATGGATGGGTCCATGTTCGTGAATGGATAGAGTTCGGATGAAGGACCCCTGATGATGAGCAAAAACCGCTGGTGGTAGCTTTCTGCTCGACAGCTGATTTCAGGGAGTCTCATCTACCATTCATTGACCCGGATTTTGTGTGGAATACATCATCCAAACATGATCAGCTCTCGTTTTCGGCATGTTTTGCCTTTGTTCTGGATGCGGGTCCGGACTTGGACTTCGCCTGGCGCACCACCAACTTGGCTAAACCTTGTTGTGCCCGCTGCTCCTGGTGTGTTCAATCTGGCTGTGACCATGCGTGATGTGTGAGCATGTGTGACCATGCTGCTCCTGGTGAAAGATTGTGGATGCTGGTCAAATCCTCTGGTGTGAACAAAGCTGATCAGTTTCCAGGGATATGAAACCATGTATACCAGGACCCCACTCGTTCGGGGTGTCTATTTATAGCCCCTTAGCTGTTAAGGATTGTTAAGGGGTGTCCATGTCTACCACCCCTTGAAGGTCCTATAGGCAAAGGTGCACAGTGCAAGTACCATTTCTGCTCTTCGGACACCGATCTGGTGAAAATAGCTTCATCACAGTGCTGCCAGTGACTAGCAGATACGGTTGAACCCACACTACAGGATGTTGCACCCACGTTGAACTCGTGGTGGGCGAGTTTGGCCAATCCCTCCCTAGGGCCCTAGCCTTCTTCCACAGAGTGACAGACTGGCTTCGCGTTGCCAGGAGGGTCGGAATGCACCGAACCACCCACCACCCTTGTGGTTGGGACCCTTCGGAGTGCATCGAAGTCATTCACACCCAACAGACCAAACTCCATCGATTCCACTGGTCTCCAGCCGGCGAAGTTCAGTCCTCCAGCTGTTTCTTCCCAAAAATGATGCACGTTGGCATGGCCTGGAGAAAGCTCATGCCGTCGTGTTTTGTGTGTAGACCGATTAGTAGCAAGAACGACTATGTAACAAGGGCATAGTAACAAGTTGTCTTCCCAATCGATATCCTTTGGCAAAACCTGACCTCGGCAGGGCCAAGCTGGCAACCTAACTTCCGCATGGAAGAGCCGGTGAACAAAAAGAAAAAACGGTGAACGACAAGATTCTGAGAAAGCCGAATTCAACCTCATGCTTCCGCCAATCATCAGTTGGTCTCCTGTGTCTGTCCATCTTCAACTTCAACCACATCAGGAACCCACCAGGACCCGACTCCTTCGGGGTGTCTATTTATAGGCCCCTTAGCTGTTAAGGATTGTTAAGGGGTGTCCATGTCTACCACCCCTGGAAGGTGCAGCCTTCCTATCTCCTGATCTCCTATCTCCCAAATCCAATACGACCCCCGCCCACCGACTTCCGAACCGTCTCTCGTCTTCGCTCGTTACCATTCAAACCCTTCTGACCGGTCTGACCTGGGAGAGGTGTAGATGTTCCATGACCACCCGTCGAATCGCCACCACCGGGTCCTCAGGCGTCCCGCGCCAGTTCGGTCGGAACCCCAGGTGTTCGGCCGCGGGGAAGGGGGCGTGCGCGCAGTGAGTTCAGGCGTGGAGAGCGAGTCCAAACGCAGTGGGCGGAAGAAGTGGCCAGATTGATAGACCGAAACACGACCCATGGGACTGGAATGATCTACATTGACCTCTGCAATGAACCACCTATAGATTTAGTATGTGCTCTGTAAGTCTAGGAACCCGAGGCTTGGAGAAAAACGGCCTCGGGAGAAAGTGAGTGTGGGGAAGTGAATGAGTATCAGTTGGGTCTATCCTATTACCTGTAACAGTGGATGATGATGGTTAGTAAAGGCCTTGTCCAACAATAGTGATAATTGTTTACTGATGTTTACTGACTGTTACAGGTACTAGGACAGACCCCAAGTATCAGTTTAGTGAGTGAGTTGGGCCACCTAGTCTGCGCACACGGCACGCACGAAACACCGTCTTCGCCTCATCTTGGCGGCCCAAAACACCGTCACTGGCCATCCCCGCTCATCCAAAGGAAACAAGACTGTGTCAAGGTGTACGTTGTAGAAATGTTTCTTGCCATCCACCTCCTCACAACACCACAAGTTGAGGGCACAACGCCATAAATAAGTCACGGCCAAGTCTGTATATGGGGACACCCGGGGACAGCGCTGCTTTTGGGTGTGTACTATGTACCACAATGAATGGCAGCAAAATGAGCAAATAAACGTAGCGCGGGCAGCAAACCACCAGCAGAAGAACGCCAGCAAGACAGGAGCACGGCAGCAGCAGCAGCGTTGGCAAAAGTTCCAAAAACTTACTACAACTTGGCCAAAAAGTAGGAAAACTAAAAGTTAGCTAAACTTGACTAAAGTCAGCTAAACTTTGCTTTGAGTTTAGGTTGTCTCTCTGTAAGGTTGTTATAAGTTCCTTAAATATATTGAATTGATTTACAAGCGTTTGTTTACTCGTGCAAGGGATACGTAACCTTGGCTAAGCGGCTAAACCCAGGCCCATAATAAGATATAATAAGTACCCGTCAGATAACTGTGAAATTTCTGCGCTAAGGAACAAGACCAAAAATAAGATGTTACTTTGAAACTGAGCTCTGACCTTGGCTTTTCCAAGAAGCAAAGAAAAAATAAGAAAACTTTTGCTGGCAAAGAAGGGAAAACCACGATTATATTAGTTACTAAAAAAGGATAAACTGATAAACCTTGAAATGTGTTTTTTTCTGTGCAAAAAACCTGTGGAACATGAGTGACTAATTGATGTATTTATATAATATCTTTATATAGACTGACTAAGGGGTCTCTTCACAGGATTACAGGATTGGCAGTACCGTATGACTTCGTGTTTGAGATCGACACTACACTATACGTTAGTCATCAGAAGAAACGAATCCTTGAGAAACTTTCTCACCCTAGGGCTCCAAGTACCTTCTCAGGTACGGTGATCGGAGACACTGTCATGTAGGTTTGGAGGGTCCAGTCGTACCTTCTGAGGTTCGGTACGACTGGATCCCTAGGGTCTGGGGTACATCTCCAATGACTATGAGGAGTTCCGTGTCCTCCGTCCGATGTATCATGAGAAGACTCGACTGACGAGATCCCGAGAGTCAAGCAGTTTGTCTCAACCATCTTCCGAACCCAGTGTGATGCAGTACAAACCAAAAAGTGGTGACCAGACCCCCACGGAGACTCCAGAGTTTCACGTGTTTCGTGGACTTGGGGGAGCTCTGCAAATGTTGTGAAGTGCTGCTGCTTTAAAGAGCTTTGTTCAGTTCAATACCGCCAGACCTGAGAAAGGAAGATGAGGAAGTATCACAACATGTCACGGATCCACAGGGTCTTGGCATGATTTTTGCATGTCTTTGTTAAACCCAGCACACCTCAGGGTGCTGTTCTTTGTCCTCAAAACCGGGTGACGACCCAAAGCCACTCGCTTCGAGGCCGTTCTCTCAAGCTCTGCCCAGCCACCTCACCATTCTTCAGTCGAACCTCTGGGAAGAAGCAGGAATCGGCACTTCTCCTCTGAAGTACGGCCATGTGGATACGTGGTGGGTCGATGAAGGGCGGTCCTGCCTGCCTGCCTCACAAAAACCGAAGAAAGCATCATGAAACATGGTGTTTTTGTCTACTCTCCCGCACACGCGCGGCGCTCTCTCGCCGCGCCCGGTCTACGCCTCCCTCCCCCCCCCTGGTCGCACTCCTCCCTCGCTTCTCTCCGCTGCCGCCCCGGTAGAAAATGCGCCACGAGCGGAGCGCTCTCTCCGCGCCCGGTGCGGGAACACTCCCGGTGCTCCTGGAAGATCCAAAGAGCATCCATTTGCTCTCTTCGCCTCGGACGCTTCGATCCGCGTCTGTCTCCTTCGCCCCCCCGTCTCGCGGTGCGACCGGAGCGACCCGGAAGCACCGGAAGGCACCGAGGCACCGGAAGGAAAGCGCCCCGCTTTTTCGATCTCCCCGGTGAAACGGCCCCGGTTTCCACCGCGGTGTTTGTTGTGTCGCGGTGTGTCGAAGCAACGTGGCGGTGCGCGTCGGCTCTTTTCGCTCCCCGGTAGCGTGTTACAAAGTCCAAAGGGCAGGATGAACAGGGTGGCGAATCGAAAAGCCTCGAGGAAACATAGAACACATCAATCCTTTAACGCAGATGTCCCATACTCTTGTGACTCACAAGTGACACTTGTGTTACGGCATTTCTGGTGTTGGCCACCCTGCATTGAAACCTGGTACCAATCTGGACCAATGGGTCTGAATTCTCAAACACAGGGGCGACTGATCAGCTGCAAGTATCCATCTTGATCAGTTATAGGTGGCTCAAAACAAGGTTGTCCCCATATCATCGCCGGGTGAATGGATGAGGAAAACGAAGACTCTATGTCTCAATGTCCTTGGGTCTTCTCTTGAGCCACAGCGTCAGTCCCACACCAGCTCATCTGTTGTACGGCTGGTGTGAAGACTGGGCATGAACGAACTGGAAGGTGATGACGCCCTTGAGGATGAACCCCCATCGAGCATCAACAATACTGTGAGCTGCCTCCAGCACCTGTTCAGTTTTGCTGTGGAGGCATGCCACCTTCGGCAGAAAGGATGTGCACAGCTTTGCTCCCATTTGTGAGCAAAAGCACATCTTTTTTCTAGGCAAATCGTGCAAAGGTCTTGCGTTGTACAAAGCCTTAGAAGAATTTAAAGTGTGAATTAAAGAGAAAGAAAGGCATCAAACCGGCCCTCCTTAATTTCAAGTCTGTCACCGTTCCTCAAGCGTCTTCATCGGTGCACTCCTCCAGAATGCACAACTCAACGAAGAGTTTGATTCAAATGAGATCCTGGTGACACTTCATTCAGCCTCTGTCCATGGGCGAAACACTTCAAGACATTTCAACCCGAATTGCCTCGAGAGCAGCTTTCAAGTGTTGTGGGAATGCGCCTGAGAACTGTGTGTTTGACACCAAACCCACCAGAGCTGCCAAGGGCATCTTCTCAAAGACACGGCTCATCTTCACCACATTGACCTCCTGTGTCTCCTCTGGTTCCGGCCTCAACATCAGCTCACGCTCCAACATGTCAATCATCTCGTTGGCTTGGTAAAGATTCTCCACCTCCACCTTGCGTCGGAAGTGGGGGAGCAACATGGCCAGTACGCTGGAAGGCGAAAGGCTCCTCAGAATCTCGCGCTGCTTCTTGTCCAACTTCCATTGCTTGTGTGGATGGGACAAGTGGCAAAAGCGGCACTCCGCCCCCAAGTTGCAGGTGCCCTTGGCGAAGTTGATGCACTGCCTGCGACAAAGTTCAGGATGACCACAGCTGCCCAGGCTCGGGGATGTGGTGGGATACACCAGCTGCCGCTCCAATCCTTGAGATCGCTTCTCCAAGTGTGCCACCTGCGTGGCGCACCCGTGGAACGATCGAATCCACGAAACCGCCGGTGAGTGAAACACCGAACTGGGTCACCTCTCAGGATGATTGGAGTTTTGTTGCTTTTGGTGGTCGTTGGAGGGTTTTCGATGGGCGATGCAGCAAACTGGGTCACCCTGTGAATAACTAGAATGTCAAATATGTGTGTATGTGATTTTAAAAAAATAGGCCAAGCGGGTTCACAAATGTTTGATGAATACCTCGCACCTGATTCTGGAGATTCTTCTTTTGTAGTCGTCCTTCCTCAAAGACACTGGGGACAGACTGAAAGAGCTTCGGAGGAGCACTCTTGCTGCGCGAGGAGGGCTTCAGCTTGGGCTCCTCGTCGATGAAGGTCAAGTGATAGCGCCAAGTTGGCATTGCCGCCGAGAAGGTTCTGCCCACGGCCACAAAATTGTCCTAGTCCTAGTCCTACTGGCTTGAGCTCCACGGTGGCTAACCGGAGCCACGTCTCCACGGAGGCAGACGTCGGATCGCTGAGTCTCTTTAACAGAGAGCGACAACCAATCCTTACTAGCACACACACCTAGACACCTCCATGATTCTTCTATGCCGATCAATGGACCCCCGAAATCAAAAAAGAGGGTGAGTGTCAGTCAATGGCTCATCAATTCCAGGACACCCGGACACCCGGACCTCTATTGATAGCCCCTTAGATGTGATTCGGGGGTGTCCATTGACCATCATTAACCACCCCTTGTGGGTCGCTCTCTTGGACCCCGTGCCCTCGATGCACTGCTTGGCGCAAACCATCAGGTTTCCCTGAGAGATGTCGCAGGTGCCACGGTACGCGGGCGCCCAACGTCAGAGTGGTGGCTGAAACAAAGATGTTTTCATGGAAGCACTGGCACTCCAACGTACCAACCTGAGGTTTCTGAAGAAACGAACCGACGCAAACCGAACGACACGGCACGACTCGAAGACCTCGAAGTCTCGACCTCTCGGTCTTGCCGCCGCGCGTGCCTTCGCGCTGCGCACGCGGAGGATGAGGATCTCTTCCAAAAGCCTCAAAGCTCGAGGCCCGGACCGACGGTGGGTGGGTTCTGACCGGGGTAAGTACAGAAGAAATGGATCCTCCAAGTGGTTTTTTGAGGGATAAGGAGACAATAAGGAGACAATATATATAGAGCAGACTTTCTGTTTAAGCCTTTCCATCTGGGTACATGAGGCTAAGTAGAAAAAACCTGAAAAAATGCAACTGTATAGAATCAAGAGCAGCAACACCGAGAAAATGCATGTACGCAGAGCCAAGGACTGCAAAACAAATGGCACAATCTCCGTCTAGAATCAAGTGCACAATCTCTTCAAGGCTAAAACCTCTATAGAAGCATATGTGGAAATTACATGTTTACTGGTTTTTCTCCAAAACAACTCACGTGGCCGAACCTTCAATTTGTTTACACATACACACACGTTTGTCTAAAGATTGTGCGTTGGGATTTTTAGACTGTAGTGCCTTTTTTGTCTCGAATGGCAAGGATTTTGGAGCAGAAGACACCCGATTTAAGATTCGCTTCTTCGCAGAAGGCGTTTCACCCGATTTCGTGCGCTTCAGAAACCCACCCCTCGGGTTGGTTCGACTGCCCAGCCCAGTTCGACTTTGAAGAGAATACCTGAAGTATGAAATTACTTTTTCGGTTCCAAGTGACCCGAATTGGAATTCCCTTTTGGCACCCGCTTCTTTCCTTGCGACCGCCCCTAAACGGCACCACCGGTCCACCGGTCCACGCTGAAAACACCAGGTCACTCGAACCCGTTCGCGAACCACACCCGAAGTAACTGTGATTTGCACACAGTTCACGAACAACACAACCCACTCCGCCCCCCCCCCAACACTATCTCGGCTGGAGCTCCGGCAAGAGTTCCCCTCCATCTTGGCTCAGCCCGGGAAAGAGCTCCGAGCTCTCTCGTGCTTTGAGCGACTTGCGTTCCCACAGCCGCAGCCTCGGAGGCGAGGGGCGGGCGCCAGGCAGGTCTGTGTCGACACAGAAGGGGGGAGCAAAAGGAAGGACCTTTCAGCAGATTTGGCCCACTTTCTGCAGTCCGCAGGCGCATGGGACTGGAGTTAGATTGGGGTTATGTTCATGGGGTTTATATCAATGTATCAGCTATTGTAAGTCTTCCATACATGGAGTGTCATGATGGCTCAGCCGCTGACTGGCCCCGCGCCACTTCGCCAGCCTCGGTCGGAAGAAACGTGTGCCAAAACACGGGCCATCACGGGCAAACTGTCCGTGCCAAATACAAGAACCCATGGGACTGCAAGGTGTCCCCTGTCTGGACCATCCTGTCTAGACCATCCCTGTCTTTAAGGGATGTGAAGGGTAGTCCAGCCAGGTGACCGACGGCCGGGAAATGGTCCTGGCGAAATCAACGGAGGAGTTGAACCAGCTACCAGGACCTGAACCAGGTTTACCTCTAAGAATTGAGAACAACCACCCGAAACCTCTGTAGTCGTCTTACGAAGTGATCCTTCCATATCGTTCCGCGTACGAAACCACGTACTGTATCCAGACGAACGTATCCATCGTTTGATGGAGCACCTTGAGCTGGGAATGGATCAAATCTTTCACCAAACCTGATGGCATCTGAAGAGCTGAAAGGAGAATTCCTGCCTGTCATGTTCACTACTTCAGGTGTATACACTCCCTGAAACCATCATGTTTCAGGTGCATGGCATGGCCATGGATGGCCCCCTGCAAACACCCGTGCCGGAGGTGCCGGGGTGCCCATCTCCTTCCATGCTTCTGCGAGGGAGGGTAATATCCAACTAATTCAAACATTCAATCCCATCTTCAGAGCCTTTTGGAGCCTTTCTGAGCCTGTCTGAGGAAGCTGGGGCGCTCTCTGGGCTTGCGGGCAAAGCGTGCCACCGTGCGCAAGGGCTTCTGTGACACGGCGGCGTTGGAACGCAGAAAGCCTCGCGTCGACCCCCCGGAACGCGGCCGGAAGAGGACGGAGATCCATTGGTTTCCTCGATCTGACCAGAAGATCCTGCCCTCCTACCCTCCTACCAGGTCCTACCCTCCTTGCTGGAAAACCATCGATAGCTGTGCTGAGATCCGTTAAGAAGTCCTCTAGAAGACCTGGTGAAGCCAAGAATCATCCCACGTTTTGAAAAGGGAACTGCTGTTTTGTTTAAGTTGTTTCATACTTGTGATCGGCCGCACTCGAGGCTCCCCGGCCGTACTTTCGTAGGAGATCATCCAAGGGCTTCCCGCGCAACTTGCTGGCCTGGAGTTCAGAGTAGTCTGGGGGAGCAGAGTGAGGTTTGGTTCATGAACCCTCAGAAAAGCTCCATGGTCCCAGCGAAGAGACCCTCTGGCTGCTAGTAGCAGTTGAAAATGGCTGAAGATGCCCCAAGAGCACGACTCTTCTTGATTGAATGAAATTACATTCCTGGTGGCAAGTACAGGCTTTTGAACCACATACACACGGGAGTTGGGGGGTCGCTCCAAATCACCCCCATATCCATTGTTCAAGTGAAGCCACATGAATAGATCATCAGTCACTTGACCATCCCTCCTTTGGTCCCTCTTTGACCTGCATCCTCTGACCACACATCCTCTGCATCACCGCCCAGCGCCCCGCCAGGGCGAACGTCCTCCTCGGGGTCCCGCACGGGGATCGCTCGGAAGGCGCGCAGCATCTCATCTGCCTCGGGGTCCTCGTCCAAATCCACCCGCACCTGGTTGCAGGGAAAGGCTGAAGAGTCTGCCCCCACCCCCCACATTCTTGGAGTTTGCCCCCCCCCCAAGACCTAAGAGCCCTCAAGGGCCACCTCGGCCACACCATCAAGGGCGACCTCGGCACACCCCGGGTTTGAAGGGGTTTGAAGGGGTTCTGTCTGAAGGGGCACGCCACGTGCCCCGTGGTGAATGAGTGCCACGTGCCTGGACGCCCAAGCGTTCACAATCGGCCTCCTCCGCCCAGCACCAAAGACTCAGCAAGGAGCAGAGAGGTGATCATCCTACTGTGGAAGAACCAGGTTGAAGACATCCCACCAAAAGATAATATCTCAGCGAACCAGTACTGATTTCTACTGTATGTTCGCAGCATTGCACGAGATTGCAATGTTTTCCTTGAACGGTCCATCTCAAGTTCTTGAACTTCGAACCACCGTCTTTCCGCTCTTCACCAAAAAACACGAAAGAGATCTCCCAGCTGCTTCCAAGGAACTACCACTCTCACCTAACAGTCAGACTACACTGACCCAAAACCACGCACTACAAATGACTATAGATACCATAGTGACTACTTTATGGATCTCCATTGGACACCCCTTTTATATAAAATGCGAGGTCCAAATTTGATCAGATATGTGTCTAGATCACTGAAGAGCAAATCCAACCAGATCCACCCCTCGCGGTCTCGGGCGTCCGGACACATCTTCCGCCGGCAGCGTCGAGGTGTGAAAAGGCCGCTCCCCCGGGAAGCCAATCTGAGACCTCGCGATGCATGGCATCGGATCCGCAGGGTGAATCACTGCGGTCTTCAGGATTCGATGAAAACAAAACGGGGTGCTTGATGGTGTCTTGGCTTGGGGGTGAAATGTGGAAGGACACCAACTTGGGAACCTTCTTAAGGTTTCTGAGGAGGATGTCCTGAAACGGGAAAGTTGTGAGAAGTGAACGTTGGCTTCTACAAGCGATTGGCACAAATTGCTTTGGCGATGACTTTGCGACGAACTTCCAGATGTTTCCACTCAAACGCCATTCAGATTGAACCCTTACCTACATGTTTCCACTGGGATGATGAACGTGCAACTTGAAGCCCTGTGGCTATCTTAGTTCGCAAGCACTTGGTCAGCACTTTGCTAAGTGTGCCTTTGGTTTTGCCTTTTGGGGTTTTGTCATAAGCACGTGACAAAGCACGTTTCTGGTGAGAATGCGCACTCACAAAGCAGTGCTCCCAATTGGCTAGAATTTGAACAAGATCCAGGGTTAAGGAGTTTACCAGGCTTGGTGACGTTGACTGTTCTGTCCTTGTGACCGTGCGCAGCTGCAGCTGGACCCGCTCCTTTTAAGAGGATTCTAGGTTCGAGACGCTGGCCGAAAAAGGCTCGGGCTGGGCACTTGTTGAGCTGCTTGCGGTGGTTGCGCACAAATCTACGGCCAAAATCGGCCTAACCTTTCCCAGTTTCAGTCTCTCTTTGCACTTCAGCCTCCAAAATCCTGGCCCCAGGGTCGTCTCAGCGCCGCCGGAAGTGGTAGGTCGCAGTTCATGCTTGGGCACTTCAGGGCGCAAGCTAACCAGACTTCACTTGGATGATCTTTCACGCTCTGAAGTGACGCTGGCTGCATCGAAGAGGTCTCACCTCAGCACCTTATTGGTTACAACTTGCTACGCACACCTCCCCGCACAAAGCGCCCAGCTGGGAGCTGCAAGCTTGACAGCACCTAACATGGCATTGGGAGGATGGATTCGATTCATTGCAACGCGCGCAGCTGCCTGCAACCAGTGAATACATGAAGCAGCTGCCCAAACTGCAATGACACAGAGCTCAGTAATCAAGCAACAAAACCGCAACATTATGGACAGCTGCAACTTGCAACAGTGACCAATCCACACTCAGCTCAACCAGGGACAAGCAAGGCATCAGCACACGGTCTGATCTACACAGTCGCAGAGCTTCTCCAAGCTTCCAGGCGAATGCTTTCTTGGCAAACGAGCAAAATCAGTAACGCAAAGACATCGTGGAGAACCGCGCTTTGCAGTATACGTGTCGCACAGCTCTTCGGCCTCTTCCTTGGAAGGTGTTCCTTATTCGATACATTTCCCCCTGCGCCCGGCTACGTGTCAACTCTGCAGCAAGCTTCTTCAAGATTTGAGATGCCCTGTTGGAGCCACGCGCGCACACTGACACAACAATGCCAGCGAACCTTTTTGCCTTCTCCACGCTCAATCACGTTCAAAAAGACCTGCTTCAAGAGCGTTACGGCATCAGTAGCCACTTTGCGCCACGCCAGCCAATCTATGCGGCTTGGTAAAGTAACGTCTATCAAGCTATCCTCAAAGGCTGCATACACCAACACGCACATCTGGCCCCATAGTTGACAAATTTGTCAAAATGCACTGGTTGTCCTGACAGCACCGTCATGCATGTAAAATAATGTTGGTTGAGTGTGACCTCAAGAAACTTCCAAGCCCACGCCCCCCTTGTTCCCGCTGCATTTGTAGACACTTGTGGGCTTGATGCTAATGGCGGATTATGAGAAGCTCCAGGCCGTTGCATGTCATCAGGATGAAAGACCACCAAACATAGCTCCCACCCACAGGCAGTTGGAGGACCTTGAGTCGCCGCTACGCCTTTCATGCCTACAACATGGTTACTGCAAGGCCCCGCACTATGGGCCTAGGCCTCGACTGCACATGTCCGTCTGAGACCAGGAGCCGCAGGCAAGAATGATTTTTGGACAGCGCTAACTGCGAGCATGTTTGATGATGAATTGAATGCCAATGATTGCATTGCACTGCAACAGCTGCGCAACGACAATGGAGAGAAATGGCGCTTGTTGCACAACACTGCTGGCACCTGCTGAAGTAGCGGCAGCAGCGTCCAACGCCACGATGGGTTCAGAAGGTGTGACAAAAGCCTGCCGCTACCGCTGGGATTGTGCAAATATGAACGAAGGTGTGCAAAGACGAGCCGTCAGTGACACGCTGATGACTTGACTCCTGACATGTCAAGCAGCAAAACAATGGTGGGCGCGCTCTGACTGACCCCCCGATTCTCCAGGACCTGTTTTCAACCTTAGCAGGATTGAGAAGGTCAAGTCAAGAGCGAGCCAGAAACAGCAACAGCAAGCCAGCACCATAGCCATAGCTTTCTTCAACAGTGCCTCATGTCTTCCAAGGAACAAGCTTCAGGAGCACCCCCTATCTTCCAAACATCAACATCGCTCCTCAGATCACAGACTGTGACTCAACATCTCAATAACAGGCAAAAGCCCGAGGAAACACGGCTACAGACACACAGCCACAAACAGCCCAGCAAGCACAAAAAGAACAAGGTCCAAGGACAAGTCAGCCTGACGCAGGTCCTTCTCCACATCCTCTAAGGCACTCTGAAGGCTGTTCTCCAGCTCAGACATGTAGAACCTCGTCTCATGGTTGAATCAAAATAATCACAGAACTACAGCTGCACAGGCAAACACATCAGGCAGGGATCAAACAACCAGCGCAAGCAGCACAGACCATCAATCAACACCTGTGTACCGCCACACCTTGGCCTGCATGAGATCAACCAGCTTCTCCAAGTGATGTCTGGCAAATACATTGCGTGATGCTTCCAGCGCAGAACTTTCAGCGATTAATTATTGCTGCAGTCAAGTAGCTCCATGTAAATTGGGATCCCTAACAGAACATCCATACCGCCCTTTCAAGAATAACAGCTGCCAGGCATTTGTCCAATGGTGTTGCGTCCTTAAAGCGTTTAAGCCGAGTTTGCCCTGTTTGACAAAACTCCAAAAGGCAATTCCAAAAGGCCAATTAGTGGAAACCAGATCTGCTGCTGTGAAATACACACACAAAGAAACAATTAAAGATATGTCTTCCTTGAAAGACACCCAAGACGAGGCGATAACATATGGGAAACAACAAAAGAAATACAAGACAATATATCTTCACCTTCGCTCAATCTCCAGTCCTGGCACTGACGGAAATCTCTCAAGCATTGCTCCTCTGTGCCCCGGCAGCTTCGATCGTCCAGCCTCTTCGTTCACCACAGCCTAAGACAGGTGCCGCGACCAGTTGAGTGTGTCTAAAAATAGGGGGAGACCTCCCAGGCGTTCTGACCCCCCTTTTCAGAGAGAAAATAGAACAAAAACCCTTGGGGCCGGGGTCTCCCTCTTCTCTTTAGCTCCTTGACATCGTTCGTCCAATCACCATGGCACCACCGGACCCGCACCACCTGGACACCGACCTGCTTTTCGGGCCGATTCGGGCAGCCGAGTCGTGGTGTCACACGGTGAGCGAAGCAGAAGTGGTAGGAATTTCCCTACCCCCTTGGGTCACTTTATAGATCTATCGTCATGGTTTATAGAGGCAAACACTCCATGTATGCCCGCAAGTCAGTTTTAGAGTGGCTAAAATTATGGTGTCGTGTTTTTGTTGTACCCTTCTGTTTTTGTTGTACCCAGGAAACGCGCGCAAGGCGCCAGCGGGGGGGGTCCATGCAATCCAATGTATGGGGTGTATGGGACTCAGCCCTTTTGCTCCGGATCCTTTTCTCCTTGTCGCCTTGCCCAAGGCGCATCGAAGAAGTGTCGACGATGAAGGTCGATGATGCCTGTTACGCTCAGGCCATCTAACTGTGCTGCCGGCTCTCCCACCAAATCAACTGTACACTCCCGAAAAACTCACATGGACCCGGGAGAGAAGTGGCACATGGGCACATGGTGGCACAGTCCGACTGTTTTCCTCTAGCTGCACCAGTGGTTTTCGGTGGGTCTCATCAATTGCTTCTTCATGATGTCCAATGACTACTAGTTATAGATCTTCATTAGCTCGTCACATGCCTGGCACTCAGTGCCAGAGATCCCACACCCTGCATCTTGTGCCGATCTCAGTGATCTGAACCCCCACTGTTCAAGCACTTTCAGCACCCTCCGCGCCTGGAAATTCCTCCGACTCAGTCCTCTCATAGGCCACCTGGAGAGCAGCGCCGCAGTAGGCTCTACTGCGGCCGAAGAAGGGTTAGGGAACAGCGAAGCACCGCAGCTTGCGGCGAGATCATGCGGAGATCGAAGAGATTCAGCAACTGGCTGAAGTCCACCAACTGGCCAAATCGGCAATGCTTGGGAAGAGTATCCCGCCAAAAAGATCTCCATTAGTGGTGCAGGAAAAAATGCCATCGCAACGTGTCAGTCCAGCCCGGGCGTCAATGCAACTGTGCATACAAACCTTCACCGGGCTTCGTTGGTGGAAAACATCATATCAAAAAGTTGAAGAAGACTTTGGATACAGTAATATATAGATTGCACAGGTCGTCCGAGAAAACATCATTTATGTGATGTATTGTGGATCTCAAAGTAAGCCCGGAACCACTTGGTCTCATCCAGTCTTTCTCAGCATACCCAACGCTCAGACCTTATAGATAAACCTCGTGGGGCCGTGGGGCCATTCGTGGGGCCATTCGCGCTGGTTTGAAAGTTCGAACAGATTCTGCTTGAACCACATCTCTGCATCTCTGAAAGTTCCAGCATATCCAGTTTATCAGCTGTCTAAAAGGTGATCAACAGATATCAGCGCATTCGCTTTTCACCCAGCTCATGTCACTCCCCTTCAAAGGCCTCCACGGAGGCACATGAATCAAAGACATGTAGCGCATCAGGTTTGGTTCGCAATTGCTCCGCGATCAAGGCATCAAAAGCCTCCCAGGCGCCGGTTTCTCCGGGCGGGCGAACCGCACGTCTACGACCCAAAGACGAAGACAGGACAGCGCTTCCAGACCTTTCGCCAGACCAACAGGGTTGACCTACCAGACCTTGGTTTGACCTACTGTACCGTCAGGTCAAGCTATATGGTGTTGAGGCTGGCTTTGACCCAATTCCCATATACTCAGGACCGGCGCACGACGCCACGACTTGGGCTGTGTAGTGGCAGGGCGTCGGACCGTGGGCGTCGTAGCTCCTCAGGTCGGACCAATCGACCCCCAAAGCACCCGAATTCGTCCCAGCTCTTTTGGAAGGTACCACCAGTGGTTTTCTCAGCCAAGCTATCGGATCACGTCTGACTACCCGGAAAACAATTACAAACGGATGCGTTTGAAGCTTAGCATGTGTTCAGACACGGCATGCCATGAAAAACCAGCCTTCCAATTCTCCAATCACGCTCCATCCCGGGCAAGGGGCCTGGCGCAGCTCGTCCAGACCGCCCAAGCGACCGACGCCTGCACCTCCTGGAGCGTGGTTCGGAACCCCGACGTGGGACCTCGATGGCGCGTCAAACCTGTTCCGAACGCGCGACGAAAAAATCAGGCATCGATATGGATACTTACATGGGGTCCACTTCGTGTTTCATTGAACGTGAATAGACCAAAAAAATGTGGAAAAGGTGTTTTTACATGTTGTTGTTCAATCCCAATGAGATGTGTGTTATTCATCAAGATTCTACCTTTACTGTTAGTTTCTTGAATGAACATGGGCTTTTTCTGGAGGATGCGGAGATGTTTTTCATGCAAAAAACGATGCAAAAACACTGTGTTTTACAGTGATTTCTTGCAAAAACCTCTCCAAAATTGAGGTTTTGAGCTATTGTTTGATCAATTTTTTGTGAGATCCAAGCCTGTCCCAGTTTAGAGGGAATACCAAAAAAACAATAAACCAAAAAAACAATAAACAAAAAACAAACAAACAAAAAAAAGCAATGTTTGAGACAAAATGCAGCCAACATCCAAAAACCAATAGTGCCCCCATGTTGTCTCAAACATTGTTTTTCTTTGTTTGTTTGTTATTTTTGGTTTTTTGGTTTATTGGTCTTTTGGTTTATTGGGTTTTTGGTATTCCCTCCAAACTGGGATCTTGGATCTCACAAAATTGATCAAAAACTAGCTCAAAACCTCAATTTTGGAGATGTTTGTGCAAGAAATCACTGTAAAACACTGTGTGTTTGCTTCATTTATGTTTAACGGTGGAATTTGATTTTAAATTGGATTTCAATTGATTTTGGTATTAGACTTCAATTAAACCGCTTTCAGAATTATTGGTGGAAGTTGATTTATCATTAGTTGTCTATTAAAAATGTGTTTAAGATTAATTGTGGATTTTTTACAAACTAAGTTTCATTTATATCATATTCAAAATCATTGGGGAAATTGATGTTTTTTATTAGATTTCAATTAACATTTCTTCAAGATTAAATATAGAAAAATAGATGCGTAATTCAACTTCGATTAAATTCCTTTTCAAGATCATTGTGGCAATTGATTTTGAATTAGATTTCAATTAAAATCCTAATATATTTCATTGTAGAAATTAGTCATTACTTAAATGTCAATTAAAGCCCTTTTCAAAATCATTGTGGAAATTGGTTTTTGTTTAGATTTTTTTTAATTGCTTTTCAACATAATTTGATTGAATTGCTTGTGTATTGGATATCAATCAAGACCCTTTTAGAATTGCTTGTGGAAATTAATTTTCAGTTAACAGTTAATGGTGGAAAGCAATTCTTATAATTAGATGTTAGCTAAAGTCCTTTTATTTGATGTTGCCTTGTAGTGGGGAGCAAACAGATACAAAATCAATTCAAATCGAGTTAAGCATCACAATTTCCACAATTAATCTTAAATCGATGTTAAACACAATCTGATATTAAATCAAAGCCACCACTAACTTTGAAAAGGACTTTAACTAAAATCTAATTATAAGAATTAGTTTCCACAATGAGTTTTAATGAGAACTTGGAAAGGATTTTTATTGCAATCTAATATCTAATAAATAGCAATTTCCACATTCAATGTTAAAAGGATCTTGATGGAAATCTTCTAATTTAAGTTTACCTAATTCTAGTTTAATTCTAGTTTAGTTGGTTTCAGAAAACACATGTTACAAAACCCTATATTTTACTGTGGTTTCTTGCCCTACGAGTGCTGGGAATAAGACAAAAACTATGTTTTTGAGTAGATAGTATTTGTTTAAAGTAATCCCTTGGAATAATCATTGCTATATTAAAACTGCTTTATGTGCAAGCTTCTAATTCAACAGGTTCCCTCTAGATCTCATCACTTCTGTGAAAAAAGAATAAAGCGTTCATTTCAAAAGCTTTCCTCTGGATCTCTGGAATTAGTCATGGTATTTAAAAAAAGCTATAAGTATGTATGTAAGTGTTTCTTTCAAAAGCTTTCCTTCAATGAAAGTACAAAAATCTAGTAAATCTGCTTCCCAGAGATCCAGAGGAAAGCTATTGCATCTAGAGATGTATAGTATTATATCTTCATTCGCTCATGATGCTACATTCATTGTGGGCAGAGAGAGATTTACCTGATAATATTTATCATTGGTGTTGCACATTGATAGTGGGCAGACCAAGAGCTGTTATTTGTTGTCATTGACATTGGACATGGAGACTGGGCACAGACAGATCCAAAAAATTGTGTTTCGCCTAGTTCTCAGAGCAGTTTTTAAAAGTTTGCACGGTATTTACAGTGTTTTATAAGGGTTTTGAGCTAGTGTGTGCTCTCCCAAGCACACCCACCCTCTAAAGTTACCTCCCAAGAAACAGAGTGTTGTAGAAATTGTGGAGGATGTTGCCATGTTCCACTCCATGCATGTTTAAGTTTCAAGGAGATAGCGGGGGCAAAACGGTAGATCGCTATGTGTCATAATAGGGATTGCAGCATATCCTCGTACGTAAGAACTCCAAGGGCTTTGAGCCACAAGAAACTTGCAGCTCTGAGCTCACAGTCCCAAGCTGCGTCTGCTGGAAGATTTAGACTCCAGACCGACCATGAATGCAATTGTTCGCAACTCATGGCGTGAAGTTTCATCCTTCTTTTTCCTCTTCCAGGCACCCCCACCGAGAGGCCGCGCCACCGTCGGAAATCGCCAATTTCGAGGAGTGTCCAAGGGGTTCTCCTCCTGGAGAAGTGTGGAAGCTATGAATACCACAAATATCCACAAAATATCTCCACAGACATGGAGAGGAACGATCTTTGATGCAACCTGATGCCTTGCTTGGCAGGTTTTCTTATCGGTGGATCTTCAGTCAGTCTCACCGGTATCCAAACCTGTCGTCGGTCTCCCCGGATCAAAGCGTCTGGCGTTTGGCACACCTGCTGCTCTTTCTTCGGCTTCGCTCTCTGCCTCGGTGGCGTCTCACACGAAACACCGAAAGATCCAGATGCCTGGCCCTGATGGGCCCGGGGCCCTGATGGGTCCTTTTGAGGTCCTTTCCGGGAAAACAGCTAGTTACACAGCCAGTTACTTGATGACATTGACCCCCATGAAACAGCCACCCCCCCAATGTAGTTCCAGTTTGGATGGATGGTCCAGTCTCACCACCGAATTCGACGGGAACTGCGGAACCCCCTTCCATTTCAAGCAACGCGAGTGCGCGGTATCTGTCTCATACATCTGTCTCATCTTTCGGAATCGCTCTGGTCTGTCAAGCAGTGGCTCAGGCAAAGGCTCTTCGAGGTTCATGACCATGACTTGTGCAGCAGTGATCCTGCAAAAGGACTTGCCACCCTTGCGACACCTCGAAAATCACCGGCCTGATGACATCTGACGACCTTGAAGAGGTCGCCTTTGGGCTTTTCCACTGAACTGGCCTACCCGTACCCCAAAAATGCCCTATTTGATGCTTTTCTGTCCGTCCAGCCACCTTTTTGCATATGATTTGCCAAAACGACATCTGTTGAGGAAATCATGGCTCACCAGCCTTCATCTGCCAGGAGCCTTCAACAACTCACAGTCCCAACCTTTCAGGGTACCAGCCTTCAAAGGTTGAAACCGTTGAAACCACCCACGAAAAAGAAAGACATCCCAATTAAGGCATCCTCACCGTGCCATACCACGCCCGCCCACCCTCGAATCCTCCTCTTCATGGCCATCCAAAAAAAGAAGAACCGCCCACTCTGGCGCCACCGTCGCCTCCGCGTCCCCCGGTGTCTCACGTCCCCCGCCGCCGCGTCCACCGGTCTGCGCCGGTCCCGGCTCCGCCCAGCACGGTGGGAGGCTCCCCGTCGCTGTCGAGCTCTTCGGTGCAGCGCTCCAGCGCCGCCTGCGCGACACGGGGCGACCCGGTCCGGGGCGACACAGCGGCAGTCCTGGAGGTGAGGTGTTGGGGAGGTGATCGGAACTGGTGCTTCCGAACTGGACGTTCGGAATGGCGGGAGGCGAACGAGTTCGTGGGGCACCTGGGCGGAAAGATGGAATGAATTCGGGCGTTCTGGAAGTTCTGGCACCGTTTTTTCTCGACACCAAAAGGGTCACCGAGATGCATGGTTTTTCTGATTCACCGCCGTTGATGCAAAGCAGTGAATCAGAAACACATGCATCTCGGTGACCCTTTTGGTTTCGACCCCTCGGGTCGAAGGTCCTCCAATATGTATGCCTCATGTGCGCCTCACGGCTCTCTGGACAACTGTAGATCCTCTCGCCGCCAATCTGAAGCGCGGCCAATTGGGCGGCCAAGGGGGGTTCTGCCACAAGAGGGATTGAAATGGCACATTCATAGACGAGTCTATACCCAAACAACCATATAATATAGATTAATATGTTTACTAGAGCGTGGCTAGAGGGGTCAATGCAACTCTGTAAGGGACAGGTTCGAAACAATGTCTAAATGACCTTCCGCTTAAGGTCTTTGCCTCTAAAACCGCAGTTCAGCTTATTCGGACAGAAGTTCAGCTTACTGTACCACCTGCTGCGGGTTGCCAGCTTTTCAGGTGCTTTTAGACATACTGTACTACATGGAAATACCAGAAAGGGTGTTTCGCGTGCGACGTACTACAGCGATGAATGCGATCTGTTGGTAGTTCGGAACACTACCCAAGCCGCATGGACGTCCGCATGGACGTCGGATGTCCTTCCCTTTTCCGAACCAAACGACCACGACGGCACATCGGACCTTTCAACCAGTCAAGACAAGCCAGTTTTCTGAGGCTCATCCACACTACTCCTCTCATCTCTTCTCCCTCTCATCCTGGGTGTCCCAAGCCAAGTACTTGCCACCCGACTGCACGCCTGGAGACTCAAGTTCGACGTTCGTTGGCTCCGGTGACGGACGGTCGTCGGCGCCGGTGAGACGTTGAGGGGTCGATCGTTGTTGGGATTTCGAGCGCTGCGAGTCGAGCTGATCAGTGTAAAACATACCATGCGATTTCTGCTTATTTATTTATGTTTGGATTCAATTTAGACATATTCAGTGTAAAACCAAATACAAATTATGTCTAAGACAGTAAGACAGAGCTGAGTGATGAAGAGTGATCTCATCTCAACTGATGCGAAAACGGCTAACTGGAAAGCCACCGTCTTCCTGGTCCCTCCAAATGGAACGACTGGACGAGCATCCGGGCGCAAGACGAGGAGATCCATGACCTCACAGGTTTGCTTTCAGGAGATCCGGACCAAATCCTTTGAAATCAACGCAAAAACGGTGTCTGATGGCTCATCTTTTGGCTCCCCAATCAGTGGAGGATGGCTCCGAAAAAAGGCCCTCTTCTTCCAAACGAGTGATCATCGAAACGAGCCAGAGGTTCCATCGGCGCCGAAAGCGACCCGCTTTCGGAAGAAGCTGAGTGCGGTGCCCTGCACAGGCGTCCACCTTCCATACACAAGCGGCAGTGACCTCCATAGCACAGGCAAACGTACTTTCAATATCTTGCAAAGATGTAACTATTGTAGAGAGCCATGTGAGAGTTCTGGAAGTCAGATCCATATAGATCTGTCTGAAATGTGTCAATTGCCAAAGTCCAAGCAATAAGTCGTTGCTTTCTATGCTGCAGTTGAAAGACGCACCATACTAAACCAAACACAATTGAGTTGTTGGAAGGTGGCCAAGATAAAATCATTGAGATGTTGAAAATGTTCTAAACTCACATCATTGAAGATCATCTTGAATTGTTGATCATTGTTGAACATATCTATAGATCATGCTTGATCTCAATGATCATTGCTGAAATGGTCAGAACTCAAAGTTTCTGTCGACCTCTGTTTCTTCACACCCACCACGCCTTCTTTCAGCCTCGCACCAGTTCGGCGGAGGCGGAGGAAAACCGACCAGAAAGGGCCACTGTGGGGTTTCGGTTTCCTCACTCTCAGTAGGTTGATGAGGACCTCAAATGTATGCCTAATTTATGGGTTGCACTCCGCCTTAGATTCGTCTTAGATAGTTACAAGTCCCAAATAGCTCATTCAGCTGATTCCCACATCGCACGTGCTTCCAGTCTGCATGAGGTTGGAAACCATTTAGGGACACGATTTCGCACGTGAACACCACGGTGTTGCACCATCACTGGCCACGTTGACGGACTGCTCTCTTTCTCTCCAGGGTCTACCACGACCCATCACCACGTCCGCTTGCTGAGGCCAGTGGCTGGGTGAAGAGCTCATCCATATATTCGGACTTCCCTGCACCACGAAGCACCCACTGGACAGCACGGTGTGTTTCTTTAACTTTTTCTGAGGACCGCGCCAGGTGGTCACAGGGGCACACTAAAGCAAATCTAAGCTTGCCATTGCCATTGCCATGTTTGATGAATGATGCTTGCATTGCCCTGTGTGTCGACATCATCCAAGCGTTCAGCCAACGAATCGAAGCTTGGCTTTGGCAAAAAAAACACGTCGTGGCACCTCCAAAGTAGTATGGACCTGACCGAGTGAGGCATGAACGTCGATAGAGAGACTCATGCATCCGTTCCGTTCTCATCGATATGATCGTTGACGAGGCATCTCAACTCTTTACCAAACCAAACCGCCAACCAGCTGAGAGGTCAACGCAGCAGTGTATTCTCCAAGCCTTTCGCTGGAGCCTGGCGGGATCTGCGTAAAACCGGTCCACCTTTGCTCTCTGTGTGCAAAACAGAAAAGATTATCTACAGTAAAGCGCTACTGTACATCATGTGCAAGACTTGACCATTGCACCCAGCCACCTCCAGACACCACCTCCCTGTTCCGCCTCCAGACACCATCTCCTCGCTCCCTCCGGTTCTGCAGTCCGTCCGTCCACGTCCTCGCCTCCAATAAGCTCGGTGCAGCGGCTTCCAGGATCTGCGGGGGCCGGTCGCGAGCCACGGAGAAGACGGAAGACTCTCCGGAGAGTCTCAGAGGTCTATACCGTGGACCGTGGGGTTGTTTAAACATGAGATGTTCCATCCAAGTTGCTGGGAGCCTCCAACTACCATGAGACTCACTAATTCGGTCTCCATAGTTCAGGCACCTCTATAGAGCCTCAAGTTGGAAGGTAGAGGTTGATTGGAATGAGAACATGACTTGCAGACTTCCCACACGTCCCACACCCTCCCACCAAGCGTCATGCCACGAAACCGGAACCTGAGATCTTCCATCACTTGGACCATCTTCAACCGCGGCCAACCCGTTCTTCGTCCGCCTTGCCCAGGTCGGCCATGGACGCGGGGCAGACGTAGATCATGCCCCCGTGACCTGAGTGGTGGGGCACCGGGTTTGGGGTCCGCGGGCTGCACCGCTGAAGCGGTGCAAGTTCGAGTTTGGGTCCTTGCGGTCTGTGTTGGGAGTTAGTGCGTGATGTTTGGCGGTTCCAAGAGTTTTCGATTGGGCTTTTTGGGGGGGGTGAACCCATGTCCCGAAATCCCACTCGGTCCTGCAGGCGAGATCGTGTCTGCGTGGGTCGTTGGTTTGTCGCCTGTTCATCTCTCCTTTTGGTGAATGACTGGGGTGTACCACTCGGTTGTGTGGTTCTCCATGGCTGCCATGGCTTCAAGTCTAAGCCCGGTGAGCCTGGGGTTCACCACACTCCCGTCCTCTCTCCCGTCCATGACCGCGCGCGCGCGTTTCTGAGCACCAGTGCTAGAGGCGGGCTGCCACCAGCCAGAGAGGCACGGTGGATCACCAATCTCCAAACCCATCCTGCCCAACAGCCACGAGTCAGCGAAGCCCTCCCACGTCCGATCCCATGTCACGTCCGATCGCGGATGGACGCGGTTTTTACGCGTGGACACGTAAAACGCGACTATACGCCGCGAGGGTGGAGAAGTTCTGCGGAAGTTAATGAGATGGACTTCAAGAACTACAAAGGCGTTCTATATGTAAAACAAAAAAATAGAAAAGATTAGTAGAGAACGACACAAAAGCCATCAAAAACATCCAAAAACGGTTCTCCAAAGCCATGCTTGGCTAACAAAGCTGCACCTACTGCGGCACCTCACCTCACCCTCTGACATCCCCCGAAAGATCCGCGGATGCCGCCTCTGACATCGCTCCTCGCTCCACCACTCGTATGACCTGCCACTCACTCAGTGGAAGAAGACTTCACCCCACAGTAGCAATTAGCTACTAGTCGTAATGGCCTCCACCCTAGTAGCGATGGCCTCCAACACCAAGTCTTGCTCTCAAAGCGAGAGGGGGGTTGCAGTCCCGACGAAAACCCATGGTTTTACCACCCCGACGAAGCCCTGCTGGTTGGTCTCTGAAAAAGCACGCAAAAGCTGTTCCTCAACCAAAACAACGTTGCGGCATTCCTGGATCGCACAACGATTGCACATGTTCTGCCAAACCTGGCGGAACATAATGCAACACAATCCTCCAAGCTGAAATTGCCACCAACAACACACATCTTAGAACCTTCCCTTGACGGTTTCTTTGGACGGGTTTTTCTTTTGTACTCCCCCCACACGTCCGGTGCACCTCACTAACCCCCTCGGCCACCCGGTGGTGACGTGTTCGGACGCTTCGGACCGGCCCGAGACGCCCGGCACGAAGGGCTCCAGGGAGCCGCCCATGAGTTCACGACACCTGAGGACGGTGTCGAACCGGGAGCCCCATCGGACAGTGGGGGCGGGTGGAAGTCGGACCCGGACAGTGACTGGAGCGTTTCCCGAGGGATCCAGTGACTGGATGGTACCTTCTCAGAAGGTACGACTGGAGCCTCCAAACCTAACAGTGTCGAACACAACACCTTCTGACAAGGTACTTGGATTTTTTAGGGATTGGATATAGCTGGTAGGCGGACCTCCTATTTTGATCTATGTTGGAAGGTCCAAGAAAGTATTCGGTTCATTCTCTGTGAACGAGGGTTTGGGGTTTTGACCCAAGGAAGTGGCTCTGAAATGGAAATAGGATGAAATAGGTGGAAGACCCATCCCCAGATGTTGAGGAGTTCAGTTGGAACCTCATAACCAGGCTGATGAGTCTGCTGGGTCTGTTGAGAACTTTACAATGCTCACAGCTTTGGGGAATTGGGTGTTCTCCAAGGTTCTCCCCGGAATTCGTGGAATTGGATGTAGGACCCTTTCATTGAACTTGCTTTTGGCCAAGTTCTTCCTTCAGATCATCACAGCTGTGTTCCATCACAGCTGTGTCTCCCCGAATCGGGCCTTTGTATGGCGATGTCGAAGCTCACCGTGACCTGCGAGTGCGTCGGTGCGTGACTCCTGTTCATGTTCCGTTCGAATCGAAAAAGTATCCGCATCGGCCATTCTGCCCCAACACAATTCGCCCCCAGATTCGCCAGGCACCCTCAGACCTCCCATGGGATTGGAAATATATGCCTACAGTACATGGGGGTGGTTGATTTCCGGTGCATGTATAGGCATATTATTCTTCCAGTAGCAGCCAGCTACAAGCTCGGCTTGGTGCAGGATTCGGGAATTCGGGAAGACTGGCCATTCAACTGAAGCTCTGGCGAAACGGAATAAAACCTGAGTTAGAAAGTGGCAAAACACCCAACAAGAACAATCCAAGAAATATCACCAAACATCCTCCACACCTGACTTCAAAGATCTTCAAGAACAAACCTGATACCCTGGTCATCCCACTTCCCTCCCCAGCACATCCCACTCCCCTTTTCAGCCGCTTCCCCCGGCAGCTTCCGCCTTCTCGCCCAGGGCGAAGCGCTCGTCGGCCCTCTGCTTCTTCTGGGGCAGGCGCCGTGCTTTGGATCAGGTCACCGGTGGATGGAGGAGGTCAAACATGGTCCAAAAGGCATGCCCCACTGGGGCCGGCCCAGTGGGTGGGGGTGAAGAAATAGACCATGAATGTATCCTGCAAGTCTGCCCAGTCCTTCCCATCCAGGCGCTTGGCGCTTCGAAGCGTCAAGCGGCAAGCGTCTCATCTTTGCAAGATCTCCAGAACCGGCCAGTCACCTCCGGACCTCCCAAACACGTGGCCCCCAACGCACAACACGTCCTTCCCGGGCGGAATCTCTCGTTCCTTCAAGGCGTCCCGGCTGCTTGCTTGGCACGTCCCCAGTTGGATGGCCTCCAGCAGCCGCGAGTCAGTGGTGACCGAGTCAGTGACGTGGACGTGGCGTGGATTTTGCCGGTGGGGCACCGTGGTGTTTGGACCGGCTGAGGCTCTCTGAGGTATATGGATTTGGATCCAAAAATGAAGATGTTTGGACCGCTCCACCTTTTCTGCTATTTGGATCATCCCATGTCCTATGATCAGGGTCCAACCACCGACTCAGAGTGGTCGTTCAGAGATACTCAGGAGCTCTGGCCGGACAGTCATGGCGCTGTGAACCACCACGGGCGCCCCATGTTCACTGTCCGGACAGTTTTTCTTCGCTGTGACGGAGAGCTGTGCCAGGCAGAACTGTTGATCAGAAGGGTTTTGGCTCTTTCTCCCCAAACCTGGCGCTTGGACACCCGCTTTCTTGCACCCGCTTTCTGGGCGGACCGCCTTTCTTGGACCCAGCCGTATGGACACCACCGCCCCACATCGAAGCGAATGGGTCCCTTCCAGTGGGATTCGGATGAGTTCAACTCCCAACTCTCCAAGCTTCCGCACTCTTTGTCCATGGGCTGCTTCGACTGCGTGTGCAATTCGGGGACCCAGCTGGCAGGGGTTGACTTTTTGGGCGGTTTCGGACTCACACCCAAGTCCCTACATTGACTTGGAAAATCATGAAAAAATCTCGAAACTTCTACCAGGAGTCACAAAGGGGTGCTTAATGGAGGTTAGGGGTGCCCATTATCCACTCACTTGGGGACCGAACACCATAGAAATATCTATAACTTATCCAGTCTTTCTTTGTTTTGCCAGAAATCCATCCATGGACTGCTTTGGCATGTCCCCCCCGAACGCCGCGCCGGACGCGACAGACCAGTCAACCGCCGCGCCAGCGTTCGGAAGTCGGTGGCGCTCTGACGACGGAGCAGCTTCCTCGGTGCCACCGACCACGGTGCGAGGCGCCGATGAGGGATGTTTCCCGGGTGGGGGGGGTGCTGAGGCCCAAAGGGAAAGGAGCCTGTTGTTTTTTTCGGATTCCAGCTGAAGGTGTTTGTTAGTGTTTGCTGTTTTTTCCCTAAATCGTTACTTCTCAATTGGGGCGTGAGGTGTTTGGTGGCAACGGTCCAGCATGTCTTCCAACTGAAAATGTGGAGAAAGTTCGTGGATCAGGCTGAGAATTGACCCGAGTGGAACCATGAATGAACCCGGAGAAAGATACAATTAAAAAAGAAAACGGTTTGGTGGATGGTCGATGGCAACTGACAAACATGGTGTTCTAGAACATGAGGCCTCAGGCTGCCTGAAGGCTTTTTCATCCGGCCCCAACAGCACGGAATTGGTTTAAACATTTTCAACCAAGCAATAAGTTCACATGAAAACTTCTTGAAACTTCGTGATGATGAAGACTTCGCAGGTCAAGGGAGAGAATCGGTGATTGACCAAAGAAAATGCCGTGAAAAGAGCCTCCATTTCTTCGGATGTCCACGTTCGCACATGAACTTCCACACGACGCGCTTCTGTCTGGGCCGACGCGCTTCTTGGCAGCGTTCCGCTCCTTAATAGGGCGCACATCACCTTGGCAGAACTCGAGTTATGCACTGAGCTCCATCAACGAGAATGGCACTGTGTGCGGCGGCATTCATGTGTTACGAAACTCAAAGATACTATAAAGTGGGGGCCCTGTCTCGTTTAGACTACTTTTGTAGGAGGGCCTGTCACAGTAGCTGGTTCAGACTACTTTAGTAGCAGATCACAGGTCATCGCTATCATCAAAAACATATCATTATCTCGTTTATGTGGGGGCCTTATCTCGTTCACCATGTTCACCAGCGGATACTGATGTTGCGCAAACAAATGGAGCATGCCATAGACTACTTCAGTCAAGACCAAATAAAAGTGGTTGCTCATGTGGGGCTTGATCGTTGAGCCTCATCGTCGAGCCCCAACAATACCTTTTCTAGCTCTCATTTACTCTTCGGTTTGACTCTCATTGTACAGAAGAGTAGGCCTCTTCTCATTCCTCCCGTTCCTCTCGCATGATATTGTGCAGGGGTAGCAACCCTCTCTCATTTACAAAGTACCAGTAAATGTTGAAGCTTCAAAAATGCCAGGCCTACCAGGACCTTCAAAGTGACCTCTTTGGAGTCTGTAAGTGACCTCTTTATGGACTAAGTGACCTCAAACTGGGACCTCAAAAGGTCACTTTGAAGGTCCTGGTACATTAACCTTCATTTTGGATCTTGGTTACTTTGTCCTCGAAAGCCCTCAAACATCCGCAAACCAATTCACGCAATAGGAGGTGGTCCCTTGATTCATCATTATCTATGGTATTATATATATATATAACACCACTTGTTGGTCAGTCCTGGTCATTGGCCACTAACACCTTCATACATGTTCACTTTAACTCATTAGATCGTTCGCAAAGTCCAATAGTTACATGATATTGCACGTTTAAAGGGATATATATATATATATATATCCCCTTACGTTCTATTTGTTCAGTCACACCCCCCAAGCGCTTTCGCTAGCAGACCGAACCCCGCAAAAGGCCGAAAACGCCTTGTCCCCCGGACCCGTCGACCCGTCGACCCGACCGCCGGCGGAGCGGCCAAGGAACGTGTGGGAAAGAGGATGCTGGAGGCAGTGCTGGATTGATCGGAGTCATCCTCGAGTTGTTTCGGGTGCTTTTGGGCCCAATGAGGTGTGACGAGTTCTTCACAGGGGGCCCGTCTATGAGATGACCCTTTTCAGGACCGTGAGGTCAGACTTGATGTTCGGGCCAGCTTACCGGTGTTTACTGGTGTTTCGGACAAATGTGTCCTGTGATACTGTAACTTCACCCCAATGGACCAAATCTAGTTGACCAATACAAAGGTTCATTTTGAGTCGACAAGTCTCATGGCCAACTCGCCCAGTCCTCACTCTCTTCCTGCTCCTCGGCATCCAGTCGTTTCACATTCTGACCTCACAAACGGCGGCAACTTGAAGGTGATCAATTGATATCAATTGTGCATAAAGGCTTCTGAATCAACTTGCCAAAGGTTGCCTCGCCTGTCAGCCATCGCTTGATCAATAAACACCTTCTTCATCATCAATCACCCCGTGCCACTCCACGGACCAAGACTACTACCCCACTCCCCGTGGGGCGCATCGAACCGAACCTGGCGCATCGAAAAAAATCCGAAAACTCCTGGTCCTCAGTGCCGCACTGCTGCTCAGATCATTGTTCACCTCATTCTGACGTCCAACCCAGCACGGTGGACGGTGGGCGTCGTTGGAAGTTGACGCAAGTTCCACTGACGACTGGCACTCCAGAGAAGGATCGAGCTATCTTCTCAGATCAATCTGATTCAAAATAGAAGTAACATGTACCACATATAGGACTTTTGAATATCTATATTATATATATATATATAGAATTATATATATAGTATTATACAGTACGTTTGTTTACACAAACATTGGGGTGGATGTCATGTGATCTTCATTTAAGAATTCAACCGGTTGCCCTTCCACGCCTTCCATGCTTAGGGGGCTACTAAGGGTCACACCCAAGAAAACAAACCCCGTGTCGTTGGGGGACATGGGAGGACCCAACCGGTCTATCCCATGACCAGTCACCAGTGGATTTATTGGATCTCTCTTTGCATCTGATCTGGGAGCGTATAGCTACCACTGATTGTTAGGTTGCAGGACTTTCCATCTCTATATAAATAGTGATGTATGTTCTTGTTGACCGACTGTTACAGGCAATAGGACAGTGCCGAAAATTCAGAACTGTCCAACACATCACTTGGCTAAGCCTCCACGCTGCTCCACGTCGGCTGATCTGATGGCTGGGTCCAAATTGGCTCTCACGCAGCCAGTCGTGTTTCAGCGCCTTAAGCAAGCGCCGGCAGGTCGCAGGTCGCAGGGGCCGTCCAGCGAAGCCCGTGCTCGGCACGGCGAAGCTGGGAAGCGCTGCAACTCAATCTTTGCAAATCATCTCATGTCATGGCTTGAGCTATCAACATGCTGCTCTTACTCATACTGCTCGAATCTCACTCCACATGGTGGGGCCTAGCCTTGCTCCTTCTTGGCTCCTTCCCTCCTTCCCTCTGCTTCTTCACCCCGCTGAACTCCCCCCCCGCAGCGCTGCCCACCTTCCCTCCTTCCCCGGCGCCTCCTCGGCCGAGACGCGCCGCGCCACCTCACGGCCTTCGGGCGAGGGGACGCCGCCGAGGCGGCCGGAAGAGCTGTGGTTCGGCGCCGAACCAGGCCGCGGCGGATCCTTTTTCAGGGGGAAACCAAGGACTCCACTTCGGAACCAACAAAAAGAAAGGCAGTTCTGAGCTGGCAGGTTTTTCTGACTGTAGTTCTGACATGGCGAGCTCCAAGCACCGCTGGGCCCTTCCCTGGGGGAGTAAATATATGAAGAAAGGATGCCACTTCCATGGAGCGTCATAGGACTTTTGCTGCAATATACCAACACCACCTGCTTGAAGTGGCTCCAAAAAACCCGGGGAGAATCGCGGATCACGTGGGCACCTTGCAACATGAGGGCAAGTCCTAGTCAGCGTGCTCGCTCTTTCCATTCTCATTCAGACCCTAATTCCTTTCCTCTAACCATCACCATACATCCTTTGGTTCGGTCCGCCACCACCACTTCAGCTGGAGCTCATCAGCTCGGCGCACGTCGACCACGCCTCCACGGTTCTCTCTCCGCCCACGTGGAGAGAGCAGCTCTCTCCCGCACGGCACGCGTGACGTCGCGTGACGTCGCGTGTCACGTCGCTCTGGGCACGGTGACAGAGCATGGACTCCAAGGACTCGAAGACCTCTCGGTTGATCTTCACATTGGGCTCCACATCCTGAGACTCGCCCGCCCGCGCCGGTGGGCGGTCGAGCCGGAGTCGAAGTCGACCGCGGCGGGTCGACCTTCGCGACCGTCGCGAGGGGGAGGGGGGAGATGGTGCATCTAGGCGCGAGGGGGTCGAAACAGAAAAAGAGTTTGGCACCCGCATGTGGGAAGGTCACGAAGGGGCGATGCCTTGAGCGAGGCGAGGGTGATGCTTCCATGGATGCAGTATGACTCAGTATGCTTAAAGTACTGCGTATTGATCTGCCCAAAGGGCATCACAGGAAGGTCTAGCTCTTCCATGCCATTGAAGGTCTAACATGTGGCCACTGGCCTCTCCCCAACCACTCCATCCACTTCCCACCCCTGGGTCACCCATCTCTGGTCAGCACATTTTGCAGACTGTTGAAGGGCAGCTTCCTCAATTCCCGAGCACGAAAAACACCGACACAAAAAAAAACAAAAACGCCCTGTGTCTGTGGGTCTGTCTGTGGGTCTGTCTGTTGGTCTGTCTCTGTGTCGCATTCTGTCACGTGTGTCGCGGGTTTCGGGGTACGAGAAAGCCACGGAACGTGTGTCGCGCCGCTGTTCTCGGCTCAGGCGCTTGGTTTGCGCAAACCACAGGACCACACCAGCGGCCTTGGTGCGAAACAGTTCATCCACACGGTGGGGAGAAAGTGGAAATGGACAATGATTCTTAGGGCCCAGCTTTAGGGAAATACTATCTGACTGGTGCGTCTCGCAGGGAATGAGGGTGGCTGGATCCAATAGAATCTCTATTGGGGGGCGAAACTTCCCTTATTCCCTAAGCACCAGTCTGCTATAGATCTTGCCCACACCTCTTCGGTCTTGATCTGCAAGTGCCTTGTTTGTCTTCCAAAATTAGAGCAACACCTGCAGCACTTGAGGCTGCATGAGGCTGCGCCGAGCATCCATCAGACATACATCAATGAGTGGATCGCTCTGGTACCAAAATTAAGAGAGCGTGATAAGAACGTTCAGCTTCGTGTGAGCTGCAGCT